TTAAACTGTTGTCACAGTAAGCAATATGCAAGTGATGACAAGCCACAATATCGATTCCCTCACCATCTCACCATGTGTGTCGGTGTGTCACTGTGTGTCAAGGACCGAGGTACTTGTAAGACAGATTTTAGGAAACGCAGGTTTTCCTTGCATTTCGGCAGAGTAATAAGTGTTAACTGCATAGTGTGCCTTTTCTACAGTTAACACTCAGTTAACACTCAGTTAACACTAGTTAACACTACAGTTAACACTGCCGAAATGCCGCAAAAACCAGCATTTTGCAGAATACATGCGTTTTGAAAAGAAAAACTGCTAGTTCTAGTGTCTTTTATACACATTTGACGAAAATGCTGGTTTTCCCAGCATTTCGGCAGTGTTAACTGTAGTGTTAACTGTAGTTAACTGAGTGTTAACTGAGTGTTAACTGAGCGTTAACTGTGGGAAATGTAAGGAATTTACACTAAGCCAGAATACACGAGGAGCTCGCCAGTGGGAGTCCCACCGGAGTGCCGCGGAGCTGCATGGAGCAGACTTGGATCGAGGTGGAGCACCCGGGTCAGGGTGCAAAAAAAGTCGCATCCTGGAAGCCTGCTACCACAGTCGGCTTGCGTGGTCTTGGGTCGTACCTATAGCAACCAGCCGTGCCAACAAGCTTGCCGTATCGCATTCTTGGACATGTATAGGGCTTGGTCTGCATGTGGATGGTACCCGTCACAGGAAGCGTGGTACAGTCGAGTGACGACACAGGCTACTTGGGTGATCTCAGCAAGAAGGATCCTGTCGGTTGACGGAGGAAATCTTGCACCATCTGCCTAGTAACAAGTGACACGACGCTTGAGCATATCCCCACACCCCCTTTTTAATATTGAAGATGATGGATACGGAGGTGGTGCAAGATTTTTGTTACTAGAACCCACGGCACTTCCGACGATCACCGATCAATGTTAAAAAGGGGGCGTGGGGTGTCTGCTTGCCTTGGCCACTTAAACTGGTGCAAGATTTCCTCCATCAACAGTATAATATAATATAATACGATATAATATAATATAATATATTATAATATGATATAATATAATATAATAATATAATATAATATAATATGATATAATATAACATAATATAATATGATATGATACAATATGATATGATATGATATAATATATTATAATATAATATAATAAAATTTAATATAATATGATATAATATAACATAATATAACATAATATAACATAATATAACATAATATAATATAACATAATATAATATAATATACTATAACATAATATAACATAACATATTATAATATAATATAATATAACATAATATAAAATGATATGATATAATATGATATGATATAATATATTATAATATAATGAAATATAATATAATATAACATAATATAACATAATATAACATGATATAATATAACATAATATGATATAATATACTAAAATATAATATAATATAACATAATATAATATAATATAACATAGTATAATATAATATAATATAATTTGATATGATATGATATAATATAATATAATATATTATATTATTTTATTTTTATATTATGTTATATTATATTATATTATATTATATTAGCCAAGAAGCCAGAAGCCAAGAAGCCAAGGAAACCGAGAAGCCGAAAGCCAAGAAGACAAGGAATCCAAGAAGAAGAGAACAAAAACCCGTACGACATAAGGAGGCAGTATGCTCGAAGCTAGACAGTATAAGAAGTTGCGAGGTGAAAAAGCCAAGAAGCCGAAAAGCCAAGAAGCCAGGGAAGCTGAGAAGCCGAAAGCCAAGAAGCCAGGGAATCCAAGAAGCCAGAAGCCAAGAAGCCAAGCGCGCACACAAGCAAAAAAAAAAAAATGCAAAAAAAAAATACCAAAATATATACGCCTCCCTATTATATCGTATGTCGTATACTATACGCAAGCATAACATTATTTCAATTATTAAGTTTTTATTATTTAAGCCATTACTCTTTTTTCCGCGCTTATTATTGATACTATCGATATTCGCATTATTATTTTGGATTCCTATTCCTAGAAGGAAGCGACCGTTTGAAGAGCTTTATATTTAGTATATTCTATACCTCAAATATCATTCTTATCGATATAAGCGGTACTTCGCGCTTATATATAAATTGAATTTATAGGGGGAGTCCTAGGCAGCCCTATTTTTCTTTGATATTTCAAGATCATTACCAGATTTTTGCGATAACCCGACTTTCACAACTATCGTTGATAAAAACGAAAGATTCTAGCGCCAGCTTTCGTATTAATAATCCTAGTGTTATAATAGATAATTCCTACAATAGTAATAATGACAATAAGAGTAATAGTAATAGCAATAGAAGCAGAAATAGGAATACCAGTATAGCATCGTGGAATATTCGTGAAGACGTATTTAGCTATGCAGTTGGCCTGATATATAAATTATGGCTCAAGGCGCTTTAGATCAACTACCCCATAAATGAACCCTCTTTCTTTCGTTGATTGGCGTCGGTGTCGAATCAGCGCAGCCAACAGGATATATCAAATGCATCAGCTGGAAAGCCGCTTGTCGCTGTACCCTGGCTACGCTCAGGGCGCTGGTTGTTATCCTCCTGCTGCGACGCTTGCAGCGTAGGTCGGCTGGAGCCAGTGTGGGCTTGCACACACAAAGCTCCACGATGTCCGTCTTTGAGACCAGGAGTTCTGACCCAAAATGAAACCAAGAGCGGTGCGAAATCATGTTGCGCGATGTACCGCCGGGTAGCATCACGGGACATGGACAATCGAACCACCAAAGCGGCATCGGCCACTGTCGCCCCAAAGGACTTCAACAGGATCTCAGCGACTGTCGCACAGCGCAATCCTAGTAGGAGATCCTGGATGTGACGCCCTCTGCTGGCACACCGCACCAAGGCTTGAGCCCGCAAAGGCATGTATCAAGGCCAGGGTCAACATCCTGTGGGCTTGCCTGCGCCGAGGCGCCAAACTGCTTTTTTTTGTCACCCGTGCTCGACAAGTCAGACGAGGGTTTAGCAACTGACGACACTACAGAGTCTGGTCAGCCCTCATTGGGGCTAACGAAGAACGTTAACAAAGGCGATCCATCCATCCATCATCAATCCACTTACAAACCTCGGCACATACACGACAATCGCACCCCATGCAGCCAGCTCCACCATCCAAGCCATGGAAACTAGTGTCTGCCAGCAGTAAGTGCCAGGAAGACCGCCTGTACCAGCAAGGCAGTAGCGGCACGAGCACGGACATTCCAGCACAGCTCTCCAGTGCACACAGCTGTCACGAGCACATGAGCATAAGACTTCCGGAACCCCAGAAATGGACTTACGAGTCCTCTGTCCTGCAGTCTGATTTCCAACAGTGTACTCATGCAAGATGTGCCCAGAATGCGCTCGTACACCTGAGAAGTAAAAATCCCTGCGGGCTTTGCCCTGCCCAGTAAGCCCGATGATCCATTCCTGTTCACCATTCCATCAGCACAGAGAGCAGCTGGCCAGCGGCAGGTGGCCCCCAGAAACACTTATGCAGGTAGCCCGGTTAATCAGCATCGCCTTGTATCAATATCCGTACGTCCGCAGTCATCAGCGGTTTCGCATTAACGACCAACAGGTAGCATAGCAGAAATTTATCCAGGAAAGCGGTTGCCAATTGATGACACAGTCCAGAAAATATCCCCACAATGCCAGTGATGCCGAGTACAAGTTGCAGAAGTCTCTCAGCAGCGACGGCAGAAGCGAGGGGCCAACAGCTACTTTACAGACCCCTGAAGCCAAATACCCCTTGTGTGGCAGGCGTCCCACAGCTCGTATACGAGAAATACACTGAGCTGGGAAGACCATCTTGAGGGTGCCTTTCCAGTAGTCCCCGCGAACTGATTGCAGCAGGATTCGGACTCCAGCAAGTTCGAGGAAAGCCATGGCAAGCTCCCCGCGTTCTACTATTCCCGTCCCCAATGTCCAAGAAAAGGGGAAAAACTTTCTTTGAAGGCCCCAAGGCCCGAAGGGCCTTTCATGGGGGGGGATAGACCCCCATGCAGGCTCAGTCTTGTTCGATACAAGGGATACACCTTGCTGCAGCCTCCTTTGTAGACGGGGTGGGGGCGGGGGGTGGCGCAATCACAACACCCACGCACCAACACCAGGGGGCAGCAACATCCATCCATACCGGGCACATTTCCAGAAGAAGATGGCAGAACAAACAGCACCACCATCAAGGGAGCAAAAGCAAGACAAATCATAAAAGATACATCACCTTCTCACCCAGGGTGCACGTCAGGTTTCTGCCAGCATGTCTACAAATGTCTGAATGCACTCACTTTTAGCAGCCCCCTTTCGGCATAAGCTTTCACACGGGTGGCAGTGTGTGCGTACATATATACATGGCCTCGTTTGGCGTCGGAAACCCCGAAGAAAACAACGAGGCTGAAAGCATGACAGAAAGAGACTCCAAGGGGCAAGAGTGCCCAAGGAGGCCTATTATGTCACCCCACTGCATATTGCTCCAGGTGAGGCAACAGCAATGCAATATTGTACAAGCATAAAGGCGCTACATGCGCTACAGTACAGCAAAGGTGTGCAGGCAGAGCAAAAGCGGAGAGGCCAGAAGCCAGGGGAAAAACAGTGCAAGGGAAGAAGAAGAGTCAAAGGGCGGCAGGACAGCATCGCAAAGCAAAGCAAGGCAGGCAAGGAAAAAGCAGGGCCAGTCGCAGGCGCAAAAGGGAGCACCAAAGCAAAGGAAGTAAAAAACAGTGCAAGGGAAGTACAGTGCAATGCAGCCCTTTGAGGGCAAAAAGGGACACTTGTACAAGCTTCGGAAGTCGAGACAGTTAAGTGAGAGAAGCCAAAAGAGGTATAAGATAACAAAGAGGTATATGCTATCAAACACACAAAAACCAGCGTCTCTGCCAAAGGACTTCCGAGAAGTACTCGCTATGATCCGAGGCCACTCACTGGCCAAAGTGGAGCATTCTTCGTAGGCTCCTATTCATCCTTGGTGAACAGCTGCCGCGGGAACAGGAAAAATCTGTCCGTTCCAGACTAAGTTCACCATCTCGCCGTTTTGGGTGCCGCTTACTCCTCCTCCTCCTTGAACTGCCGAAGGAACTTGCTGCTGCAATTGGGTGATCGGCTGCGTGACTTGGGGCACCGGTGCTGGCATAGGAAGCCCAACATGAGTCTGAGCTCCTGGAGTCCCAGTTTGCAGCAGTTGAACGTGCGGCGCCAGTCGTACTGAAGGCGCCGGTATCGAGGTCGGGCGAGTCGGGGTGTTCGCCAGGGGCCCCGTTGGCATCGTTGCCGGGGGCTGCCATTGCCCCGGTGGCTGCGTTGGTGGGGGAAGCGGCGCTTCCTCCGTAGGCAAGGTCGGCGCCGGCACGTTCGGTGGCGGAGCCTTGGGTCTTGCCGCCGCTAGCTTGTTAGTGGACTGTTCCACCACAACCAACTTTGTAAGGGCCGTCTCCATTCGTCCTTCCACATATTGCACCTTGGTTTGGAGCTGCTCCATGTTCTGGTTCAGGGCCTTCATCTCTGTCTGGAGATCCTTGACCGCCACAAGGATGGTGGTAACATCTGTGCTGCCCCCACCATCCGAGCTGTGCCCAGGCCGGGTGCCCAAGGCACTGTGTATGGAGTCCAGCTTCCGGTGTGCATGCTGAAGTCCTTTTTGTAGGTCCGACCCCACCGTGCCGACTTGGGTGCCGATGGCATTGAGTCGGCCATTCTGGTCCCAAGCCGTGTCTTCAACTGCTTTCAAGGCCTTCGAAGCAAAGTCCTCCACGGCCAAAGTGACATCGCGAAGAGAACGGATGTCAGCCCCGTGCTCCGGGTAGGGACCCAAAGTACTCTTGAGCCCGTTGAGCGAGGGAGTCAAGGTGGCCTGCAGTGGTCCGAAAGCGTCTCGCATTGCAGCTTCAAGGCGCGGTTGAGAGTAGATGCTGCTGTCCAAGATGCGTCGAAGTTCTGCAAGAGCTTCGGTAAGGTGTTCCTTGTTCCTCGACGCAGCCGAGTGTGCCGAGTCTTCCACCCACATCTTGACATCCTGCAAGCTTTCTTTGAGTTCTCGCAAAGCCTCGACTTCAACAGCTGTAAGATCCGGAGCCCTATCCTTGGGCTCCTCTGTTACGTTCTCCACCACAGGCTCCTGGCACGGAGGCGAAGAAGCAGAAGGCGGTTCCTCTTGGGGAGCTGCTTCCACACCTGCTTCCACAACTGGCCCAGTGTCTTGGCTTTCGCCCTCCTTCGTCTCCATGTCGGGGGCAAGTTCATGGGCGAGCAAAGGGGCTGTAGGAGCATCCAAAGCTTCCTTGGCCCTTGACGCAGCTTCCGACAGCCTAGCCACTGTTGTAGTGGTCTCCATCCCCAGGACACCTTTACGGAGGTGGCGAAGGAGCTGGCAGCAGTTGTAGAGAACAAAGCATGCCAGGAGGACCCATGAGAGTCCACCATTTGGGTTCGCGAGCCACATTCCTCTTTCCCACATCACAATGAGAGGAAGAGGTACATCTTGGTGGCCGAGGGAATGCTGTGCGGTTTCAACCACCCTCGCTGTAGAGCGAAGAGGAACGCCCGCGGGAGGGCGATCCGTCCCGAATGCATCCCCAGGAGTGTCCTCGAACACATTGTGAAGATCCATGCCGAACAAGAGACGACCTAGCGAAACTGTGTGTTGCGGGGCCGCGGGTCTCGAGAGGCAAAATCTACGGTAGGAACGTCTTGGCAAGTGCTCTCCTACGTGTGCATCCAAGCATCCAAGCAAGCGGCACATGCCCTCCTGTTATCATGTTCTCACGTGTGTGACACTCCTGCTCTCAGGAGAAAGCTTCCGACAAACCTCTCAATAAGCCCTTCCAAACTAAGCACAAGGCAACCAAAAAGGACTCCCACAGGGTTAATTAGGGAGCACGGCCAAAACAGTAACCCTAAAGTAAAATCTCTAACCGCGCAGGACCGACTTGTTGCGTCGCAAGGTTACTCAGTTCAAGTCGATTCAAGTCGAGATATGTAACAAAGCAAGTCCAGCGCGGATGCAGCGACGAACGTGACCATTTGCCAGGAGGCTGTAGGCTCCAGCTAGGCTCGCGGCAAAAAACAACCCCAGCTTCTACCAAGATTCGCTGAGTGGCAGGCTTCGCAGGGGCCCAGCTGGGAAAAGCTCCCAACTCTTCTCGTCGGATCAGCTCGTAACATCAATCCCCGTGCCAAGCAGTCGTGTGCACCCAGAAAGCTTGCTTCCAGGATAAGGCCGGTACGAACGGGGGGTCTGTCCCTCCCCAGAAGGCATAAGAAGTGGCAGTCAAGACGCATCCGCATGGCCATCGCATCCATGCATCAATGAGTCTGCCAAGGTTCCGGCACAGCAGGTCTCATAATGCAGCCATGGAGCTACGCAAGTGACTTAACTCCATTAATAAACTCAATACACCAAAGTACCCCAAAGTAGTTCAAGAATATCCCAGGAGTTAAGACGCCCGAGAAGTAAAAACAGTTCGGAAGGCAAGGCAGGCCGTAGCAAAGCAAGGCAGTTCAGCAAGAAGGCAAGGTTGGAGGGCCCGGGGAGGTCATTCGTTTAAAGCCTCGATAGGGGAGGGGCCAAGTACAATGATCCAACAAGGGAGATGCATACCCGTGTTTTCCCACACTATAGCCTCAGCAGTACAGTCGATACGACCAGTCCATTCAATAACAATAGTTTCGAAAACGCGGGCATCTTCCCCCATGCAGAACCATTCGATAGCAGCCTCAGGTCGAAGAGCAGGGAATTGGGAAGCAACACGATCAAGACTCTCAAGATACACCTGAAGAGACAATAATCTGGTATAAAACCACCACCAGGACAATCTACAGTTTCGAATCCAGAAACGAACCTCCCCCGCAACCCAATAAGCGACCCAGGCAGGCATTTCATTGAGTCTACCGGCAAGCTCTTCCGCCGTAAAGGGAAGGAAGGGCCGAAGGTGAGGGGGTTGAACTATGTCCAACTCCCACGAGTCGTTCATGATTTACTAGTGCAAAGGCGCAGTGAGCCAAGCACTCATCCCAAGCACATATCATTCTTCTGAAGAGCAGGTGCACACAAGGACCTCGACGCGACCTCTGACTTTTTCAGCAGTCCGCAAGGAGAGTGCGAAGGCGGGTCGAGCCCAAAAACAGTACCAGCGACAGTGCCATTTATAGTACAAGGAGCAAGGAAAGTACTGCAAAGCTCTGTAGGCAGTACATGCATACAAACATTCATGTTAGGCTAGGGGAGGATCAAGCCCATGGCGGAGGCGGTCCTGGCAGCCCCGAGTCGTCGACTCGCGCGCCCAGGTTCGTCTGTGCACGGATGACTGACAACTGCATCAGAACCTCAGACTGGAACTGTGGATGCAAAGTAGGCTGACCCCGAAGTTCTTGCCTGACTCGCTGCAGTCGTTCCTCCATACCTTGAACTGCTCCAAGTAGGCCCTGAGTATCCATCTCAATGCCTTCTCTGATCATGGTCAGGTGCCCATTGATTTCCCGGATGTCACCAGGAGTATCCGTGGTGACGGGGATGAGCGACTTTCGAATGAGGGCTTGAACTTTGATGAGGGTGTTCATGGTTTCTCTCATGTCCTGGAGCTCAAGCCCCAACAGTCGAATTTGTTGGAGTATATCCAGGCGGGTGCGATTCCAGTTCTCCAAGAGTAGTGGCTGCAGAAAACCCTGAGGCTCGCAAACAACAGCCCTGCGATGGTCTTGAAGAAGGGCCCTGATGCACGCATCGAGGCTCTTAAAGGATCTCTCGTGGGTTGCATTCCAAGCTTCCTGCTGTGCCCCCAGCAGGGTGCAGGTATCGGATAACTCAGAAAGGGCCAAGCGGATGTCCGTGAGGCGACCCCAGTAAAAGCCGGATAGTCGAGCGATCCCCGTGAACAGGAGTGCAAAGGCCAGGATAAACCATCCGCAGCTGGTCCCCAGGACGGTTTCCAAGTTATCCTGGTTCAGCCAGGCCTCCATGACAACCGAAGCTAAGCCGAGGAACGCAGAGCCATGGCAGTGCAGAGGCTCGGATCTAGCGGGCTGGGGCGAAGCCCATAAGCACCCGAGGGAAAGAAGTTTACGCAAGTGTTTATGCAAGTAAATTACAGAACGTATCAGGAGGACGATTCGAAGAAAACAAGTCCAGTTTCCAGGAGTCAAGAGCAAGGAAACAAGGAATACGAAGGCGCCCCGGAGCAAACAGCGAAGACGGGACAAAAGAACAAACAGGAAAAAGGTCGACAAGAAGTCAGGCGTCTTACACACCGACATAAAAACAGTACAAGACGACCAAGGGTGGGTTAGGGGTCGTCGGAGGCCTCATCAATCAGGGTCTCCATCACCTCGTCACCACCATCGACGAGGACAGGCAAAGCAGCAGACTGAGGTGCCCTATCATTCCGTGCACGGTTGCTCTCAGCAAAGGCTTCGGACAGTCTGAGTTGTCGGTGCCGAGTTGCCGGTTCAGGAGTTCTCTGAGAAGAAGCACACTGGATCTCATGTAAGGTGGGCAGGTGAAAACCTAGGTCCAAAAGTTGTTCCGAAAACTCGCAATCAAAGGTAGACACATGGATTGTGCAGAAAGCCACGATGATAACCCTGGATCTCCCCCGGGCCACGGCACAAGAGGCACAGTGTCCCGCATGCAAAACCTTCCGTGTGTTCAGGAAGAGCGGCTGATCAATGGAAAAGATTTTTCCGGGCAACATCTGTCCCTTAAAAGGTTTCCATACTTCTCCCTCGCAATGCTGAACCCAAATCCCATCCTGAATCCCTGAGGTGGACAGCCCGAAGATGCAGGCGTCAGTGGGCCCATTCCTGGTGTCCCTGTGCGGAGTTGATGTACAGCCTTCCCTAAGTACAACGGTAGAGAATTTTGCTTGGGGTGCATGAGCCCTAAGGAAGCGGTTTAAGGCGAGGGTGAATAGGGGCATACGATGGCTGAAGGAGACTAGGTCATCTCGACTCCTAGGTGAGGCTCCAGTGACCACGTACCTACCAAAGGGACCCCGCTTAAGAGCACTCCGAGGCAACAGGTCAAACAATGCCAGAATGTCAGCTTTACAAGGTGGCTCACTTCGTCTAAGGAGGTGAAAGGCTCTCGATTCGATCGGGCGATCCCGTCGATCAGCCGTAAGTGAACCTAAGTGATGCTGCAGGTACCGAGGGTCCGAGGCTCTGGCTCTGGGGGTTTTGCACTCTGAGTCCTCGGAGTCGCTGTCTAGCAGGGCAGCCACCCCCGGTTGAGACGACAAACAGACCACCGAATCATCATCATCAGACTGTGGAGCGGACAAGTCTACAGGCAGGGGAGGGGGAGGAGCGAGGTGGGAGAAAGCCATGACTCCTGGAAAAGAAAGTATGCGATTCGAAGTTCCCTCGGTTTCCTGTGAGCCAAGTGCCTACATGAATTGTAGGTCCGACCTGCCCCCCCCCCCTTCTCCTAATGTCAGCCCTGAAAGCCCAAGGGGGGGGGCAAAACCAGTGGGAGCCTCAAACCGCGCGCCTGTGGAGGAAGCTTGGAGATCCAAAATCTCCATTTCTCACAAGTGAGGAGAAGCCCCCAGGAAAAGGCCCGATGGGAAGAGACTGAAGAAAGGCTGGAAGCTTATCAGCCCCTTTCCACAGGACTGTACGGTTCAACAAGTCAAAGCGCATGTCCTGAGTCTCGAAAATCGCATGCCAGGTTTTTGTCGTCAAGGTGACTTCACCACTGAGAAGGGCACTGTGCACACACTCGGGGGGAACCACAATCTGAACATCCATATGCACCCCGCTGATTTTATGAAGCAGCCCCACCAGATTCCAAAGGTGCAGGGCTCTCGACAGAGTAGTCGTAGAGCCAGCGGGGTGTTGTTCCTGGATTACTAAGGCAGCAGCCGGGGATCTGGAACTGGGGACCACGACAACTGAGACGCCGACCGCGTTCAAAGAGCACCACAGAAGTGGCCCTTTTGGCAGAGTCTTCACCCCCTTAATGCTGCATACAGAGGAAGTGTAGGTTTCCTCTGGAAAGAACCTGAAAGGCCTCAGTACAGCCTCAGAGTCATCAATAATTAGAAGCTGACGGCCCAAGAAGTCAGTGGAGGGAGGCCCGTGGCCCCAGTGTCTGCACCAAGGTTCTAGCATCTTCTGCCACAGCGGGCGGACAAGAGCGGCAGACTCCCACAGTGCCGGGTGACAGGGCTCCCGAAGCTCTGCAAAAACAAGTTGCAGCTTGCGCGGGATGATATGCGCTACCCAGCCCGGCAACGACTTGCCAGACATGAGTCCGAAGTTACCGTACTCGTGCATCAAGAACTTGAGGGGGGTGGAGACAGGATTCCTGGCCGCATGTCCCCAGTATCGCCAAACTTGTTTCAACCATTTTCGGTCCCAAGACTCCAACTTGAGCGCGTGCAGAACAAACTTAACCGCCCTCCTTTTTGCAACCACGTTGTGAAGGAACTCGCCAAAAAAGTCAGCCCTGAAGCCCAGTAGCCCCAAAAGTAGTGTCGTCTGGTGACTATTAAGACTACGCAAGGAGACTTTGGTGGGCCAAACCAAGCCGCTGCACCAAAGCCACCTCGAAGTCACATATAGATCAAAAAGACGGATCTTCTTTGCGGCGGGAAGAAACCGCGAATTAAA